TGGGTGGGGTAGGGGGAATGTCCCCACGAGTTTCATGTTGGTGATGCCCAATGTCAGTACATGCTGGGTTAGCCACCCATAACCTAAGTAGTTCCCTCTCCTCTCAGATGCCTATGACATGGCCAAGCTTCTGTGTGACAAATATTACATGGCTTCACCTGACCTAGAGATCCAGGAAGTTAATGGTAAGCAGATGAGGCTGTGTTTGTGTGTGTGTGTGTGTGCGCGCGCATGCGCGCACACGCGCATGTGTGTGAGAGAGTGTGTGTGTATGGGTGTGTGTGTGTGTGTGTGCGCGCGCATGTGTGTGAGAGAGTGTGTGTGTATGGGGGTGTGTGTGTGTGCGCGCATGTGTGTGTGAGAGTGTGTATGGGTGTGTGTGTGCGTGCGCATGTGTAAGTGTGCCTCTGTGTGTGTTTCAGAGCACTGGGGACGGACCAGAGTAGGGGAGCTGGAGGACCAGGCTCCCCTCTAGGGGAGCTGTTCTGTATTAATTTGTTGAATTACTGCTTATTATTTAGCACATGTATCATGTGAAGAAGATAGGCATGCTCTTGCCCTCACAGAGCTAACGTTCTTGGTGCTGGGGAGGTTTGGGACCTGTGACAGTTAACCACTGAACATGTCATCTCAGCAAATTTCAGAGCCTTGTAGGCAACAGGCTGATGTCATTGTCCTTGTAAGCGAAGGACATGATGTGAGGTCAGAGGACAAAGGCCTGGGAGAGTGATGTGTGATGGGACACCTCCCCAGAGAGCAGTGGCTCAGTTAAGAAATGCTTCTGGGTGGCCAGCCCCAGGTGGAGTGGTCAGAACCAGTACTTGCTCCCAGGAAGCTAAGAAAAGCAGACTGAACTAGTGGTTTGCCGTTCAAGGGTTACTATGGCAGCTTGGAAGGCGCACAGCCTCATGCTGGGGGAAGAGGGAGGGGAAGGGGGAAGAGGGAGGAGGGGGAGGGGAGGGGGAAGGAAGGGAGGGAGGGAGGTCGGCCCTGAAGGAACAAGGGCTGCAGGGCCCCACTGTAGATAAGATTGTGGAAGGTTACCTTGCTGCGCTCTTGCCCTTGGTCTTCACTCCCACAGCCACCAAAGCCAACCAGCCCATTCACATGGTCTATGTCCCCTCCCACCTCTACCACATGCTCTTCGAACTCTTCAAGGTAAGAAGGCCGCCCTTGTCAGGAGGCTGGGAGGGCCAGCCCTCAGCCCTCAGCTTTAGCTGCCCTTCCCTTACTGCGTCCGTCATTCCCTCCCCAGAATGCCATGCGGGCCACTGTGGAAAGCCACGAGTCCAGCCTCACTCTCCCCCCTATCAAGATTATGGTAGCCTTGGGTGAAGAAGATCTGTCCATCAAAGTATGTGGCCCTTGACTTGACCGCGGGAGGTCACGGGGATTAGAGTGAGGAGCAAAGAATATAACCCTGGAAGGCATCTCTTATGTCCCTTGTCTCTCAGATGAGTGACCGAGGAGGGGGTGTCCCCTTGAGGAAGATTGAGAGACTCTTCAGCTACATGTACTCCACGGCCCCCACACCCCAGCCTGGCACTGGGGGTACCCCACTGGTGAGATGGCTTTTTCCAGTTCTCCCGCCCCCCACCCCCACCCTCCTGATTTCTTAGCTCCCAAGCATATGCCACCTCCCACCCCCACCCCCGTGTGGTGAAAGTCTCCTGCTCTCTCTCTCTCTTTCCTTAGTGCTCTCTCTCTCTGCTGCGTTGTTCATTTGCTAGCTAGCACCTTTGTGCCACCTCCTGCGGACTAGGCAGCCCTGTGCTCTCCTGCCCAGCTTTCCTCCCAGCTTCCTCTGCAGTCCCCTTGCCTACCACCTACTCCCATCGCTCCAGAAATGTCCCTTCCCTACCCCTGTTCCTGCACTCCTGTCTGTCCCTCGGCGGACATTCCTGGCTCACTTCATGACGTGTGTGTGTGTGTGTGTGTGTGTGTGTGTGTGTGTGTGTGTGTGTGTGGCTTATCTGCAGGCTGGCTTTGGGTATGGACTTCCCATTTCCCGTCTCTACGCCAAGTACTTCCAAGGGGACTTGCAGCTCTTCTCTATGGAGGGCTTTGGGACAGATGCTGTCATCTATCTCAAGGTGAGACCCACCGGGGGTAAGTTTGCTGCTAGCAGGCTTCTACCCATCCCTCGTCCTGGCTCCAGATTCATTGCTGAGCCTTTAACTGCTGTAACTTTAAACTTATGTGGTAGGGAACTTTGGGAGGTCTAGGGCCTGTGCATAGGGCCCCTTTTCTAAGGACTCAGATTGGAAGGAAGGGGGCCTTACAGATCTTGGCCTTCCATTGAGAGGGAATGCTTTGATTATGGATAGAGGCTACCCTGCCCAACCTCCTCCCTCTCTCCTTCTCACCTCCCTGACCTTTGAGGGAACAGCTTTCTAGAATGGACCAGAGCAAGATACAGAAGCTTCAAACCCTTTCAGGGATTTTTTTCTGGGTCTTGGGTAGCATCTCAGCTAGCGTCTGGTTATGGGGCTGACTTGGACATGGGTTGTAATGCCAGGGGTGGAGATCATCAGGGCCGGGGTGGGGGAAGGTAGTGCGCTGAGGACTGATAGCAGTGCTCCCTAGGCACTGTCCACGGACTCAGTGGAGCGCCTGCCTGTCTACAACAAGTCTGCCTGGCGCCACTACCAGACCATCCAGGAGGCCGGTGACTGGTGTGTGCCCAGCACGGAGCCCAAGAACACATCCACGTATCGGGTCAGCTAGGGGCCTTCTTTCCCTGGCACCTGGGAGGATGCTGCCACCTCTGAATCCACAGCCACCACAGGGACCTTCCCTATCCCCTGGGGTACAGAGGGTGAAGCTGGGTCTCCCTAATGGCCAGGTCCGTCTTTGTAGAAATCTCAGTGACCCATCTGTGGTGGTCCCTAAGTGCCAATCTGTCTCTATGGAGAAACCTAGGGGGTTTCCCTGGAGCCTGGTCTCCATGGTGATGCTCGAGGGTTGGGGATGGCTGTACCTGATGGGGTGCCCCAGAGACACTTCTCCATGGCAGTTCTCCCAAGAACAGAGCTGCCAGTTTTCTATCAGAGACCCTGGGTCCCCGTCACTGCCTGCATAATCCTGGCCTTCCAAGTGGCTGCCCCGCTTGCCTTATTCCCTCACCCTGTACAGGTATACCGGGCTTAAGAAGGGTGGCATGCCCTCGGGTCTGGGGAGAAGATGGAGAGAAGGGTGCACCCTTTCCTGCAGCCTCTCTCTCTGTCGATACCCTGGACATTCAGGTTGCACCTGGGAACTTGAGAGTAGGTAGTCATTCTTACCCAAGGGCCACTTCTAAAGTAGAGGCACCTGGGAAGACCCAGAGGTTACCCGCGCTACCGGGACTCCAAGACGATCGATCGATCGATCTTGGCAGTGTTTGTGCCATTTCCTAAACCCTGGCTCAGCATGTCCTCACATGCACACCTCCCCTGCCCAGTGTACGCCCACCTTATCCCGCCTGAGCTTTAGACCCTAACCCCAAGCCCCCACCCCTGTGCTCACCACCTGTGCACAGGTGGCTCATCCCTAGGACATCCTATGTACATAGCCAGTTTTGTAATCTCAATGCCTCACCCTTCCCCTCAGCACACAGGGGTTAAAGCCGTGTGCCCCTCCCAGTGGCTGGGATGGTGACAGTGACATCCACAATAAATAGATGAAATGAGACCGGTGAGTGGCTGCCTTGCTGGCGGAGGGTGAGTCCACACACGAGCACTTGTGAAGACTGGTCCTCTAGGACTAACTGTACCCAGGACCTGGCCTAGCTAGCACCCTGAGTACATCACAAGGCAGGGCCATCTACTCAGAGTGCCCGGCAGTCCATTGCCCAGTGATGTGCAAGGCATAGCGCAGTCCCTCGTCCCAGGCAGAAAGAGCATTGGTGTATGGTAAATATTTATTGAAAGAAGTTGAGAACCATCTTCCCCCTTCACATGCAGGTGGGGCACACTTGGCTCCTGACAGCTTTAGGGACAGTAGGGGCTCCACCCTCCCCACCCGGTCTAAATAGTGCCAATGCCCCTATACCTTAGTTTCCCTCTGAGGCCCCTCTCCCAGTACAGATGGCTGAGCTCAAGCACAGGGTCCTGGCCTTCAGCCACTTCCTCGGGCAGGAAAGAAGGAGTTAGCATGCAGGTCCTGTCCACCCCTCCGGGAAGCTGGGAGAGGTGGGGGTTTCTTCTTAGAAACCTCCCAGGGCCCAGTAGTCACTGACCAGCATCTGAGAAGCTGGGTCAGCATGGCATCTGGACCCTCTTATCTCTGAAAGTATCCTACAAAGGACATATGCCAGACCAACCCAGGGCTGGCCCAGTCCTCCCTGTGGCCTCGCAAACCTGAGCTTCAGGCTCACTGAGGCCTTGACACCCCCAGGGGACCTGGGGAGCTGATGGACCCTTCCGATCCAGCAGCTTCCAGGCCACCCTCAGATTGAGTCACCAGTTCAGTGCCAGGCACGGGTGAGGGGTGTCCTATGTCCCCAACAGCTCCCATTCATCCTGACCCCAAAGGCGGCTCAAGCACTCTCTGTGAAAGGGCCAGAGGCCCACCCAGTCCTGACTCTGAGGGAGAGGAGGAGCAGTGTAGTATCATCCTGCCCGCTGGGACAAGGGGAGAAAAGTCCCCTTCTCCCCCCTCTGCAATCCTTACAGAGGCCAGCTCATCCCCCACAGCTCGCTCTTCTCCTTTGAGGAGGTGTCTGGGAATCTACCCTGAGTGCTGTGACTGCAGTGCCCACCGGCCTCTCTGGGGAGAACCCGCTCTCCCACCACACAGCTCTGTCTCCTGTCGGGATGCCCAGGCCGGCTCTCTAAGCCTAGGAATCCTGGTCATGGAGGGCCTCCCTTGCTGGCTCACTTTCTCTTCAGTAACACTCTAGCCAGAGGGGAGAGGTTCAGCCTGGACCAGGCTCCTCTGGGCTCCAGATTTGCTGCATTCCTGGCCTCTGCCCTCTTCGTCTGCCACCTGCTTCCCCCTGGAAATCTGTGCCAAACAAGTCCTCAAAATCGGGTTTATTACTGGGCCCTCTCCGAGGGATATCCCTCCAGAGGATTCGGTCCAGACAGGGTGAGAGGGAGTCATGTGCCCCAACAAGCTGGTGCCTAGACCCTACTTCTCTGGTGAGGCCCGCGAAGGTGGCTGCAAGTGCTCCGGGGTGCCCGCCCCGCCAGCCATCCCTAGCTCTTCTTAGCCTCATGCTCTCGGCGCCGGAGCTTCTCCTGCTGCCTTGCAGTCTTCTCCTGTGCCTTCCGTTCCTTCTCAGCAGCAGCTGCCAGCTCCTTCAACTTCCGCTTCACCAGTGCCCGGTCATGCGAGTTGCTAAGCCCCAGGCTCTGGGAATAAACCCAGAGTGAAGGAAAGAGGCCCAGAACACTCCTCCTATGTACTCCCTGCACACCCCTAGAGCCTGCTCTGAAGTATGTGCCTAGGGATTGGGCCTCAAGGGAAGAGGAACGGATTGCAAGTGGTCATAGAGATGGCAATTGGCACTAAGCCATTTGTGCCCCATCCTTGGCTACAGATCCTCAGCCTAGGTGCCACGACCCTGCCCAACCTCCTCAGGTCCTCAAGATGGAGAGGGATTTGTTCAAGGTCACACGGCTAGGTGGCAAGATCTCTCCCCACTTCAAGATTTCCTATGGGATTGTCCTTCAAACCTGGGAACCTACAGATGTTGGAAGCCATCTCTCTACACTGTCCCCTTAGCACACCCCGATCATCAGGCTCCGAGACTAAATATGGCATGGAGTTGGCCAGAAAAGAGACCTGGCTTCCCAACATCGGATGGTAGTCCCAAGGGGAAGTTCAACCTGAACATCCAGGCTGGAGCTAGAAGGTCAAATGGAGATGATGGGCTTAAATTTCAAGTCATACTAGGGAGTCAAACTACATTGCAAAGATTAGACCAGACCCTTGCATAGAGGTCAGAAGTCAGGTCAGCAGCTAGATAGGGAAAGGAAACCCCAGGTCAGTCCAGGAAACAAGTCAGAGCCAAAAGTTGGGACAAAGGGGATCCTTGTCCTTGCACGCTACTCGGTCTGGCTCATCTTGCTCTCTGACCTACCTTCAGTTTGCTTCCATCCAGCTGCAGGAGCTGCGGCCCATCCACCTGTCGGGCAGCAAACTCGGCAGCATATTGTTCCAGGTTGAGGCTGCACAGCCACTGGCCCACCTGCTGGCTGGTCCAGTGTTGTATGGTAGGAAGAGACTCATCCAGGAACTGTGGTAGAGATGGGGAGAGTAAAGGAAGCCCAGCCTGTGGCCAGGTCCCCAGCAGGCACAAAGACTAGCTTGGCTCACCTCATCCGAAGACTGGGACAATGTGTGGTAGGGATAGGAGCACTTGGTCTCCTGTCGAGGACCACTGGGGATCTTGGGGCTGCTGCTGGGAGGGGTGGAGTCATCACTCAGGGTGGATTCCTGGACAGAAAGGGATGTGTGCTGAGGAGCAAGTTTATCCCCCAGCCCTGAGCTCATCCCCTTGGCCAGATGGAGCTGAAATACTGGACTAGACACCAGCAGTTGTCCCACACTCCTGATCCTGAACCCAGAACTTAAGTAACACATCAGAATCTGAGCCCTCTAGGAGGGAGTTGGCTACCTAGAGGCTTAGCATTAAGGGGGAGAAAATTAACAGGAGTGGAGGGTACCAGGCAGCCCACATGGATTCCCCCAAGACTGTGTCCCTGTTTCATGGAATCCCTCTCCTAGGCCTCGTATATACTGGCTGGAGGATACCCTCATTGGCCTTGGATCTCTGTGAGGACTTGGGCTGTTGTCTCACAGAGTGGTGTCCCCCTCGGGAACAGCACAAAGGGAAGAAGGGAGGAGCTGAGGGAGAATGTAGGATGGTTAAGACCAAAGGTGTACATCAGAAGGGGTTCTCCCCTGAACCCCAGGATTTCTGATTCTCCTAAGCCCAGGGACCATACACATCTGTGCACATCTGTGAGCAAGTCCCTTTTCTCTGGACCTCATTTGCTCTTCCATTCAGTGCAGATGATAATACCTGCCTTGCCTACATCACAGCTAAAGCCATACATGAATCCTGGGCTTTGTAAAATACAGCAGTCTGTAAGGAGACTTTAGTATTGGTGTGTTGATGTAAAGCTTCCAGAGCACCAGGTAGCAGTTCTGCTTATCTCTCTATCTCTAGAACTTCCCACCATGCAGGTGGTCAGCTCTTGATGGGGAGGTCCAGACCTGACTCAGGCAGAAAAGTAAGAAACAAGTGGTGGGGGGCTCAATGTCCCCACATGATGCTGTGTGGGAGAAGCAATATAAACGCACAAAAGCAATGTGAATGGGTATGAATGCATGAGCCAATGAATGGATGAAAAACAGAGAGTAGATGGAAGTCATGAGTCACTAGGCGGCTCTGTGGAGGAACATGATGGGTCCCAGAAAAACCTGGGTCCCTGTTCAAGCCCAGATGAAGTATATTCTTGTCATGAGCCTGGAAGCCAGGGTGGGGCAAGAAAGTTTTGGGGTTACACTGGCAGGAAGGTACAACCTTGCAATCCCAGGCCAGCCTGGGGTACAGAGTAAAACTGCCTGGGGGGGCACAAAGAAATATGAAAAGGAAGGCTGGATGATAAGAGGGGAAGAGAAGAAGGAATAAAAGACCCAGGCTTACCTGGGAAGCTGACTTCTTGGGGCTGAAGCTCTCGTGTTTGGGTGAACAGGTCGGGGAGGTGGTGCTCCCTGAGGAAGCAGAGCCTTTGCCGCTGTCTGTGAACCAGGAAAAGGGCAGGAACGGGGAGCTCCCAGTCCTTCCAGAACCTTCTACGGACTCCCTGTGGAGAAAACATCCAGCATGGTGCGGGTGTCCAGGAGAGGATGGGAGTCATGGGTGGGTGCCATGGGTAACTCACCTGCTGCCCATGGACAGGCGGTTGCTACCCTTCTCCTTCCGGCTCTTGCCAGTGGACGCTCGGCGGAGAGTGACCCTGTAAGGAGGCAGGGTGAATGGAGCATACCTGCCCACTGTGATGCTCTGACCCCAACAGCTCCCAGGACCCATGTAAAACCGTCCCCCACTCACCCTAGGTCCAGGAATTTTCTGCGGGTCTTCTTATCCAAGCCGATGGTGGGGCTGGCAGGCTCAGGGGGGCTGGCATCCCGGCTGTCATCTTTAGAAGAGAGGGAGGAAAAGCTAAAGCCGTGGTTTGTGTGCCTCCTGCTGCTGCCCATGTGGGGTGGTAGACATTTCTTGACTTAGAATTAGACCATCTGGCTCTGGGTTCTTCATTAGCTATGTGACCCAGGAGATGACATTCTCTCGTTTTTGAGTTCTTCATTTCAAACATAGAGCCATGACCATTTTACAGTATCTAATGGGAGCCTAGGCCTTTACTTTTTGCAAACTGTAAAAGCACTTTACAAATGAGAAGGTAGGACGACTAATGTTTGTTAGTTCCCTGGTTCAATTATTTTTGAGACAGGTCTCAGTGAAACCCACACTGGCCTGGAACTCCTTATATGGCCTTGGTCACCTGATTTCCTGCCTTTGCCTCCCGACTACTAGAATTACCAGGGTGCACCACCCTATCTGGTATGCCATGACCAAGTTCTCCTACATGCTGGGCATACTACTGACTTTATCTTGGCATCTTTGAAGCAGCCTTTTAATCGTGGCTGAAATATCATCTCAGGGAAGCCTTTCAGGTCAGGCAAAACTCTTCAACTATGCATGTTTCTTTCTATTACAGTTTGTAACTATACGTTAATTACGAGGTGCTTTGGTTGTTTCTTTCCTAAGTCACACTTTCTCAGAGGCCAAGGACTGTATCAATGCTCTGTTTGGTCCCAGCGATATCTATCGCGCAGTAAGAGTCTGTAAATGAAGAATGGAACCTGTTGGCCATCCTTCCACCTCACCTGTAGTCACCTTATTGCCTAGCCAAGCTGCGGTTCCCGTGATCGCCGGCAGGGGCGTGGCGCCGGCCGGACTCACCTTCGCTGTGAAGCTCTACTCCGGGGTAGCGGCGCACGAAGCTGGGCGAGCTGTCCGAGGAGGGTGCGGAGCGCGTAGGCGAGCCAGAGGTGGCGGCCAGGCCCTCGTGCGAGGCGGCGTTGTGCAGGGGCCGGTAGCGGGCAAGGGGCGAGGGCGGGGGCTCGTCCTCATCCAGACTGCGCCGCAAGCCGGGGGGCTCCAGGCAGAAAGAGCCACCGGCGGGGGAACCTGGGCCCGAGTGCAGAGGCGAGCGTAGCCGGTGCAGCGGGCTACCGCAGCCATCGGTCACCTGGAAGAAGGGCGGCTGCTCATCCAGCCACTCCTCCTCACGCCCTGGAGTGAGCACCAGGGGAGCTCCGCTTCCTCTGGCCAGGGGATGAGGAGTATCTGAGCAGTCACTGGTGAAATGGGTGGTCACATGAAGTGAGGACATCCTGCTTCATTTGCCAACTGTGGGACTTCCAGAACCCTCTGCTCTCCGCTTCTTCATCTGTAAAACGGGCTAACACCTTTTCTACAGAGGTACAGGAACCAGAAGTGAACAGCTAACTGACATCCCTTTGGGTGGATGAATCAGATCTTTGGGGGCACATTTCCCTGGAGGGGCGGGAGTGGGATGGGAGCTGTAATCCAGGGGAAAGATGTGAGTGTGTGTTACCCCAACCTTGCCTCCGGGCCCATCAGAGCCTTCACCATCCTCAGCAGAGCTGGCACTGTCACGTAGCCTGGAGCGCGAAGGCCGGTGTCTCCGGCCCTTGGCCAGTAGCTGGGCCCGGGCTTTATGTAAGCTACTGTCCAGTCTGGTGGTCTCTGGTACAGCCAAGTCCAGGTCTGCAAACAGAGGCCAGAGCCACCTCAGGTGGCCACCCTGACTCATACAGTATTCACTGGGCTGGTGCTTGAGAGTGCAGCCCACCATAACGCTAGGTGAAGTTCGAGCCTCCCACAGGTTAGTCTCCCAACCCCATCTACTAGCACCTGCACACGGCCACATGGCACAACATGCCTGACCCTCCTGTGGGCATGGTTGGCCTATGTGCAGACACTCACACAAGGGGGGGTTGTGTGAGAGGAGGCACACCCACTGGGATCCTAAAGTCTGAGTGAGAGTTGGCAAGCACTGAAATGGGTGGGAAGTAGGGAGTAGAGATGGCACTTGTCTCTGTGGGGACAAGAACTGGGAGAAAAGCCACGGAGACCAGGGGAATGAGTCTGCATGCACCCAGTGTGATGTACATATCACTAGCCTCCTCAGGGACACATTTAGAGCTGAGCCAACTTGTACCAAAGAAAGCAAGTCAAGATTGGAGCCACTGGCGAGTAACAGTCTGGGGTTTGGGGTGTGGATCCAGAAACACACCCTCCTGGGGACACTATCTTACTGTGCCACACTCGGGGCTGTATTTAAGGAAAACAGGGTTATGCATGCGAAAAGCCCTCGGTTGAAATGTTGAAAGGAGGAAGCAGGACACCTGGACACAAGTGTGTCTCAGGAGCAAAGTTCACACAGGCTCTTGAAGTTTGTCCCTTGGGTCCTGGGCCCTATAGCCCAGTGCTAGGTCCTGCTAGAAGCTGGAGGACAAGTAGACACACTTGTTGGGAGTGTGCAGAGAAAGCACTCCATGGCCACAGTTTCACTTTCTGGTCAGCTGCGTTAAGAAGCATCACTCTGGCTCGGGCCCTGGCCTTGGTCCTGGGGTCTTCCTGGGCCTCAGGAAGAGTCAGCATATCCCTGTGCACCCCTCTCTTAGTATCTCCGGGGCCCCTGCTCCATCCTTCACACTCACTCTTCTTGCCTGCCTCTCTCTCATCTGTAGGCATCCCCTACTACTTCATGATCACTTTGTCTATTCCTAACCCTGACATTCCCACTAAATACCAAACCTAAGCACAGAATCACCTGCAGGGAACCCCCTGACCCCCAGTGCCTCATCTAAACACAACCCACAAAAGAACATCCATCAGAGCCCTTCTGCCTCTAATCCCAGCACTCACGAGGTAGAGGCAGATGGATCTCTGAGTTCAAGTCCAGCCTGGTCTACAAAGGGAGTTCCAGGACAGCCAAGGCTACACAGAGAAACCCTGTCTAACACACACACACACACACACACACACATTCATTGGCTTGTCTTGATCGGACTTGTTGCCTCCTAGACCAATCAATGGTCTACCCAAGTCACCCAAGTTGGATAGCTTTGAGCTCCCCTTCTCCCCTCAGCCCTCCTAGACCTTATTCCCACATTGTGCTTGTCTCCTTGTTTCCCCTGCTGGATATTCAGCAGTGTGTTCTATTCACAGCCCCCACCCCCCAATCCCCATGGCTCTCCTCCGCGTTGGTCTCCTTGTCTTGGTAAACAGTGGTTCCATCCTTCCTGCTACTCAAGCGTGCTCCCAGCTGGCTCCCTTTCCTACAAATTAGTTTAGCTGTGTTCCCGCTGGCCCTGCTCTCAAAGTAATTCATCCCGTTGAAATACAGAGGTGAGGCCTGAGGCTGTGTTCCATGAGATTCAAAACGACCCGGGGCACTGGATGTGAAGAATGGGAAGACTGGGGCAAGTCTGGCCAGGAGGTGACCATGGTGGCCATGGAGTGACCAGAAGTTGAGCACATGGCAGGGTGCATTGTGTTCTTTACTTTGGAGGATGTCTGAGGTTTTACTTTTTTTTTTTTTTTTTTTTAACTATTATTTATCTGTGTGTGGGGGGGTATGCATTTGATGCACTTGAATGCATATACCCTCAGAGTTCAGAAGAAGGTGTTGGCTCCCCTGGACCTGGAGTTACAGGCTGTTGTGAGCTGCCTGACTCTGGGTGCCAAGAACTGAACTCAGGTCCTCTACAAGAGCAGTACTTACTCTAAACTGCCCACTCTACAGCCCAGCCTCTTAGGTTTTGTCAACAACATACTGTTTATGGTTTAGAGGAGTGGGAGAGAAGAAGAGGGAGGGGCGGAGAGAGGAGCACCAGCTCTAGGTCCCTATCATCTCCGCCTCTGGTATTACAAATGGCCTCCTGTTCCCTTTTCCCACTTAGTGTTTTCCAGCACAGCAGCCAGAGTGATCCTAATGCGATGTGTCAGCCCTGTCTGCCCCCTGCTCAACCATCTCATGCAGTCAGAGCCAGAGTTCTCCCAGCAGCGCTCTAGATTCAGTCTGGGATCCACTTACCTTTCAGCTTCTGCCTCCATCCCCTCCCCCCACCCTTCCTCTTATAGACCCACCTGCACTCCAAAGCTTTGAATGTGTAAACACTCTCTTTTATATACTTCAAAGCACCATTCCTGTCTTTTCCTATATCACACACCATGCTCTGGCATCCCGAATACCTTTCCTATTTAAGCTTATTGCCTCTTTCCACCTATTAGACTGTCAGCTCCAAAAGGACAGAGTTTTCGGACTATGACTGTGCCACGGACACCAAACAGCTACCATCAGTCCTGACAAAAAACATCCTGGTGCTGCTGGAACCAGCCAGGAGCCAGTAATATCTCACACTGCTCTAAATGCTTCACAATTACTGGTCACTGAAACCTCCGACATTCTTGGAGGAAGGGACTCAGGGTCCCCAGGGCAGACTTAATTTGCCCAAGAGCATAGAGCTGGCAAGAGCTAGCTAGGGTCAAAGGCAGGCCCACTTGTTTGGAAGTACCAGACACATCAGCTGTACACTCTCTGAAAAGAGAAGGAGGCAACATTGTGTCTAAGCCCTCATTTTATGGGTGGAGAAACTGAACTCTGTAAAGGGAGGTTTGATCAGTGCATGGAGGGAGTAAAAGTGGAATCTAGGTCTCCTGGCCCCTGGTCAGCTCTCTAACCTCCTCCCCACTGGCAGCACCTAGCTGGTACCCAGCCACCTGCATCAGGGTGATAGGTCCTTGCTTCACAGGCAACATGGGTATCACCCACTGTCTGGAGAGCAAAGGGTCTCCTGAGGGCTTGGGGGTACAAAGCAAGGTGGTGCCAGTCTCACCAGAGTCCCCCAGAACCTCCTTTTATCTGCTTCCTTCCCTGCCTCCCCTTCTGTGCGCTGGGCAGTGGGATGATGAATATTTAATTGTCTTCATGTGAAGAAGCACTCCAGGCAGTGCCCTGCCCAGCTACCTCAGCAGGAAGAAAATAAAGGATTGGCAAGAAGCATGGGGTAGGAGGTGGGGAGAAAGGAGACAGAAAAGTCTCTTCCCACTAAGGGAAGCTCAGCTTTATGGACCTGCCAAGATTAGGATGGACATGTGCAGAGCCAGCCTCAGAGATAGGGAAGTTCTGGGGGGGTGTTTTAAGGGGGTTGTGTACCCAGAAGCATTGAGGCAACAATATCAGCATGACCAGGGCCAGTGGCGATGGCAAGAAAAGAAGAGGGAAAGGCAGAGATGGGTGGAAACAGGGGAAGCGAGAGCCCTGTGACATCCCCACATTTAGGAGCCCCTTAAGAGTTACACACAGGAAGTCACCCACTTAAATTCAGCTAGGGGACAGCTTTCCCACATCACAGCCACAGAGCCTGCTGACAGCTCTGCCTCTAGAAATGGTAGTGTGTACATGGACACCAGTGGATGCTGGAGGCACAGGCAGACGGAGGCATGGAGGCTCTGTGTGTGTGTGTGTGTGTATGTGTGTGTGTGTAGGGTAAGATCTCAGGCACATATATGTGACTTGGAGAAAATGTATGGTGTCTGAGCTGGAGCTAGAGTAGACAGAGGTTTTTAGCCCAGTGACTAAGGGCAGGGAGCCAGACACTCTAGGGTTCTTAGTCCAATTCTGCCACTAACTTGTAATGTGATGTGTTCATTCGTTCATTCATTCATTCATTCATTCTCTGTGTGCATATGTGGGTGAGTGCATATGTACATACACATAGAAGCCAGAGGTTGATGGCCTCAATTCCTCTCCCCCTGAGTTTTTGAGGCAGGGTCTCTCACTGAACCTAGAGCCAACTCCTTTGGCTAGACTGGCTGGTCAGCAAGCCCCGAGGGTCCTGCTTTTGTATCCCCAGCACTGCTGTGTCTGTTGTTGATGGGTCTTTGGTTAGTTTGTTTTGAGATAAGATCTCTTCTATATAGGCCTGGCTGTCCTCGAACTCTCTATGTAGACCAGGCTGGCCTCAAACTCAGAGATCCACCTGCCTCTGTTTCCCAAGTACAGGGATTAAAGGCGAGTGTCGCCATGCCCAGCTTGTTCCCAGTTTTTATGTGGGTGTTTGGGACTGAACTCAAGTCTTCATGCTTTCGTGCTATTTTTGAAATTTGTAATTATTGTGTGTGTGTGTGTGTGTGTTGCATGATGTGTGAATGTGGGTATATATACATGTCATAGTGCACACATGGAGGTCAGAGGATAACTTGTGGAGCTGATTCTCTCCTTCATCCTTTATGTGGGCTATGGGAATCAAACTCAGGTTGCACATCTAGACTTTCTATCTGTTGAGCTAGCTCACTGGCCTCCATGTGATCTTTAAAGAATGTCATACTGGCACTCCGCATCCTACACCTCTTGTCTGTACAACTAACAGTATTGAGGATCAAATGATACACTGTATGTGAGATCAGGTGCCCACCAAGTCCTGAAGTGTCCTATCTGGCCTTACCCCATGCCATGCCCGGAAGACTTGAAGGAAGGGCTCCATGACTAGGCCTGTTGCTAGACATAAAGTCACACAGAACTTACCAAAAACTTCATCCACAGGTTCTCGGAGCTTCGAGGAAGCCATGACTGGAGAGGACAAAAAGGAGAGAGCAAGAGAAACCCTGCATAAGAGGTTCAAGTTGGTTGTGGCTGTAAAGAAGTACATAGCTTCTTGCTTCTCACCAACCCACTGCTTTTCTTTCCTTAGAACTCTTCCTTTGCTCCTTGGAAGAGAAGCCTGTGGGTGCTGAGGCAGGAGACATAAGCAGGAAATCCACAGCAAAGCCAACCCAGGGCACAGATTAAGTCAGCTTCTCTGAGCTGGGCCTGACTACTGGTCGTTGACTTCACATAGGTCTCTGCGTTGCCTTAGGCCCTCTGATCACTAGCATCCCCCAGAGCCTCCATTATCATCAACATAAAATCTGGAAGCCATGGAGATTATTAAATCCAGATCTCTCATTTTACACAGAAACAGAAGAGGAAACATGTGGCCCAAGATCTTGCAGCTGTTATTGGCAAGTACCAATTTAAAATCCAGGTTCTATCTGTACATCTATCTGCTTGCCCTGCCTTCCTCCTCCCATCTCTCCCATCCAGTATGTACTCTATCTATCCAACATCTATTATATCCATGCATCTACCTATCTTTGCATCCATCAGCTCTCCATCTCCCACCCATCATCCCATCCAGCTCTTCTTCCTCCATCACTGGGGCCCTCATCACTTGCTTTTCTGAATTGTGCAGCAGGAAGCTGGCATCACCAGCAAGACCACTCACTGTTTCAGACAGAATCCCAGTTCTCACAATTCCTGACAGACTCACAGATGCAGCAGGGCAATAAGTTTTCACAGCTGAACAAATCTGAAGCATTCAGAATGTTCTGGGGAGGGGTGTGGATGGACAGGGTTGTACTGTTGTTTTGGTTTCAATGTTTGTTTCTTTGTGGGAAGCAAGAAGAGAAGGCAAGTAAGGAAGGGAAGCAGGAGAGATGCATCAGAAACACCTTGGGCAGGCTTCCTGATAGGTGTAGGGGACACAGATAAGAAGAGATGGGGACTAGAGATATGGCTCAGCAGTTAAGATCACTGGTGTCTCTTCCAGAGTTCCTGAGTTCAATTCCCAGCAACTGCATGGTGGCTCACAACCATCTAGAGTGGGGTCTGATGCCCTCTTCTGGCACAATAACATACATGTAGATAGAGCACTCAAATGCAATATAAATAAATCTTAGAAGAGAAGTGGGAAGGACAGAGCTCAGGGCAGGGAGACACTGAATGGCTGAGACACGATCTCCAGTTACTTCTAATGCTCTGGTCTCTGGGAGAAAGGCAGGACACTAGACTGGACCACATGTCCTCTAGCTCTCCTGTTATTTCACAGACATCATGTCTCCATGAGCTACTGGGTTTGGCTTGACATCTTAGTATCTCTACTTTGCAGGTGTGAACCTTAATATGCAATAGCTAAGAAGCAGCCATCAACCCAGTCTCTGGCTTCTCAACCCTATCCTAGAGGCATGATCTGAAGTTGTGGTGATGCTCAGGGGAGGGCTGGGGTAGAGGGAGGGGAGCTGGTCCGCACTGGCTGGGATTAAGGCAAGCACTAAAGCCACATCCACTAGGCATCAGGGATGCCTGGAGCTGAGCCAAAACATGCCATATGGGAGAGGTCAGCAATGGCTCAGCAAGGACCCCTTTGCCGTTCTTGAACTTTGAGGACTAGTAGCCAAGATCTATGATATTCCTTCCTGGCCTGAGAGGCCAGATGGGAAGATAGATTGACCCTCAACACAAACTATATCTCTTCATCGGCTCACACAGCCTTCTCTGACTAGGATCCAGCTCTCCCTTCTCCACATTGCTGTCCTGGGTTGCCCCACCCCCACCCCCTATTTGTCTGTACTGTTTTGAAAGCCAGTTCTCCAATTCCTGAGGAATGGAGACCTTTTCATACTTTACTGGCTTCCTACTTGGGTCTTATCTCTCCTTGTCAGATAGGTCACGTGCTGTCCCTTCAGATGGTCACTCGGGGTAGTAGCTGCTTATCCCGCCAGAATGGCTGCTGTCTACACACAGTAGTGACATCTCTCTTAAACACAGAGAAGGCCACAGTCCAAGGGGGAGGTCCCAGTGTGCACTGAGGTCTGTTTTAGCCGCTTTGGGTGGGCTGGGGTTTCCAGCTCAGACCCTCAGCCCATCCTGATTCAGCACAAACTACTTCTTTATGTCTGTCTATGCAGCCAGCTCCCATAACTGTGGGGGAGCCTCTCTGCACTATTTCATGGAAACCCCATGGAAATGTAATATCCCGGAGGTCACCTGCCCCTACCATCCAGCTACCTTCTCCCAGAACCCAGCCTCACCCATCCTGCCACTCCCACACTCACTCTCACTCACAGGTGTTCAGCTACACCAGGGTGGAAAGGAACCTGTTCCCTAGGGCGACCTTTGGGTTCCCTTGTTAGCAGACCGCTCCCTTCCCCAACAGCTACCAATTCCTAGAGGACCATTAGTGACCTCTGACCTTTCTCTGGGAAAAAGGAAAGGCAGATGATTTCCAAGCTACCCAGAGCCCAAGGGAGGGGGAAAGCAAAACAAAAGGTATACAACCTGGGAATGGAAGAGAAGGAGCAACTAGCAGACCCAGAGGTAGACACCGACAGTGTCCACAGGGAGCCGAGGAGAAGAAAGATCAAGAAAGAGCAGACCCAGGAGGTTCCGGAAAAGCAGCTGGGCAGCCCTGAGGCCCCACCATGGCATGAGAGAAAAGAACACCTGCCCCACAAGCCAGAGGGGAGAAGGGGACCTGAGTAGAAGAGAGAGGAGAGAGGAAGGGAGACAGAGGGAGAGACGCAGCTGACAAGTCGCAGAAGGGGTCCGAGGGAAGGCTGGCATGGGGGAAGCGGTTGGTTGTAGAAGCCAAGGAGGCCATGCCCCTCCCATGTCACCAGTCTTCAGCCAGCCCCAGGCTTGGAGCAGTCCACTGGAGTTTGACAGCCCATCAAAGCGCCGCAGAAGATGGGGTTGGTGGACCGGGCACCTACTCCTATAATTGAGTCCCCTCTCCCTAATCACAGAGCGGTTTCTCCTACCCACCGGCCCAACTGCCTGGATAGGAAGGAGTTAAGGTCTCTCCCCCTGCCCCCACACCAGTTTTTCTTTCTTCTTCTCTTCTTCCTTTCTTTTCTTTTTAAAAATTAATTTCCCCAGGCAGGAGGAAAGGGATTAGGAACGTAAATCCTATTTCTGTTCCCTCCCGACAGCCCAGCTCCCCGGTCCAGTGAGGTCTCCCTAGGGATAGAGGAAGAAAGGCCCTTGTGGCTTAGATTCATCTAGCCCCACTTGTGTGTTTGTGAGGGGGGTGTCTCACCTTGAGCCCAATAGTTTCTGGCCCCGCTTCCCCTTCCACCCTGGAGGTCCGGGCCCCTCACCTCCAGCATCCGTCATTTCCAGCGTCCAGCGCCCCAGGAACCCCTCAGGCCCATGTTGCTCGGAGTATGGGGCGGGAGAGGGGCGGAGGACTTTCACCCTGGCCGCGGGGGGCTCCGGGCTGGCTCCAGTCGCTCCATCCCAGAGTGTTGTTGGGGGATTGGAGGGGAGGGTCCCTGAGCCGGAAAGAATGGAGAGGCGAGGTGTGTAAGGATGCAGGGAGACTGTCTGCGGGAAGCAGGAGACGCGGGCGGGGCTGGACCGGGAAACCTGACGGGAGGATGTTCCGTGTGTGCGTGCGTGTACGTGTGTGTGTGTGTGTGTGTGTGTGTGTGTGTGTGAGAGAGAGAGAGAGAGAGAGAGAGAGAGAGAGAGAGAGAGAGAGAGAGAGCGCCAGCGAGCCACCTCCTGCCCCGCCCCCGCCGATATCTTGGACCCTCGCGCCACCGGCCGATTTGTGCAGCGTCGCGGAGGCTAGGTCCGTGGGGTCGTCCGGGATAAGGCAATATGGGGGGCGCTTGTGGGGATGCCGGTCGCCCGGGAGACAAAGAGCGGGAGGGGAGGAGGAGGCGGGCGAGTGGGGCGGAGGCCACAAGGACCGAGGGGAGGAGGCGGCGGGTGCCCGCGCCGGGGCCGGGGATCCCAATTGCGCCGCTACTTCTCGGACCGCCAGAGACGCGGCGCTAGGGAGTCTGCGCGCTGGGAGCCGGCGAGTGTCAGGGAACCGACCAGGGGGGCGGTCCCGCTTGGGGACGCACGGGGCTTTCCGCCCCCTTTGCAGGGTCTGTAGGGCTCCTAATTCTCTCGATCTTTTATTCAACAAGCATCCGCGGAGCAGCCAACCTGGGTGCTGAAGCTGGAGGAGACCACTGTTGAACAGAACAGATATGATCCAGTATTTTCAGGGTTCAGCTAAGGATTTCCTAAGACTGAGAGCTGTGGGTCCCAGAACAAAAAAAGACTTCAAGTTCTGGAGGGGGCGTGCGCCCGAGACACTTGAGTAGGGCCCAGGGAGGATTCCTAGCGGTGTGTAGCTGTTGCAGGCCAGACTACGGGAGACTTGCTCATGGGCATTGCCGGGTGGATGGACCAGCGGGGGGAAAAATGAGCTGAGATTGGAGGGTTGATTTATTCCGCTACGCTTCCTGCCCCCCACCCCAAAAAGAGGTTAACCGAGGAGGGAGGAGCTTCAACAAGCATTTTTAGGAGAATTCGTTGGGCACACCAGTGAAGAATGGACTGTAGGGGGCAGCCGGAAGTCTGGTGCCGGCCTCAAGGGATTGCTGAAAGATGACAGAAGTGGGCATGAAGATTAAAGATCGAGCTGAGAGCAATTCTGGCTATAGAACTGAAGATGCAAACAGGATTTGGAGCCGGCTGGACAAAGAATTGAGAGAAGGAGGAGTCTAGGATGTCAGTGGAGTCTTGGCTGGGGGCCTGGCAGTTCTGGAGCTAGGGGGGTGGGGTGGATGAGCTCAGACTTGGACCTGGTGAACGAGAGAGATGGTGGCAGGTCAGTGGTAGTGGTGGCGGTGGGTGTGATCACCAGCTAGCTACCATGCAGCAAGACTTAGAGCGTGCCAAGTACTTTTCAGATTCTTTAACATCACCTTCCCAATAAACCTGTAAAGTCGGGGGTTTCTCCTGTCCTCTAAGATACACATGCCAGATACTCAAAAACAAGTTTGTTCAGGAGTAAGTGATGACCTTGGAGAAAGCACTTAGTGAGAGTTGTAGGGTCTGGAGAGTTAAAAGAAGTCCTGGCGGCTCATGGAAATGGGAGACTGCCAAGGGCCTGTGGGTAGCAGCAGGATGTTGAGCCAAGAATTCCCTAGAACTGTGTGGGTATGGCATCAATGGGGACTCAGAGCATCTCAGAGCTGGAGATCCTCTGGGTATCTTCAAAATCTGCTGAAAGTCTGTAGGTTTATGTGGAGGAAATGATGTCTCTGATGACTACCTGTGCAGACTCTAGAACAGTGGTTCTCAACCTTCCTATTGTTTCAACCCTTTCATACAGTCGCTCAAGTTTTGGTGACCCACAACCATAAAATTGTTCTCATTACTCTACTTCATAATTGTAATTTTGCTATTTTGTGAATTGTAATGTAAATGTTTTCTGATGGTCTTAGGTGACACTGTGAAAGGGTTGTTTGAACCCCCAAAGGGGTTTTGACCCACAGGTTGACAATGGCTGCTCTAGGGTCTTTGTAGGTGTATGCTTTATTGCTGGAATGGACTTTCTCCTATTCAGGCCTAAGGTGCTGGGATCTGGGGGGAATCCATTTGATACATCTCCTCTGCAGCAAATGTTGAGGTTGCAGCATATCTGCTCAAGTCCCCACGACTCAGTAGATGATGATAATGGATGAGTTGGGGGAGTTAGGATGACAAACATCACAGTTTGCCACACTATTTGACAGCCCCTAAAATGGACACATTGCATGGGTAAGTCACAGTTCAGGTCTGAGAAACTCCCAGAAAAGCCATACATACATAAGGTCCCAAGACATACAACTCACTCATACTTAAACATGAAGTACTACTTAACCATTCCTTTGGACATTTGAGAGAGGTCCCCTCCTCACATAGTACCCAGGGTAGCTATGGGACACAGGTCTTCCGCTTTAGACACTTGCTTGTCAGACTCAAAACTCCTACCACAAACCCAGGTGTCTCACCACCCAAGAAGTGCCAGCTGCTTCGTTTCCTGGTAAAAATTTCCTAAGCAGGGGCTTAGTAGGTTTGTGGTTCAGGGATTTATAACCTAGGCACCACAACCTGAAACTTTTTTTAGGGAATCTGTTACGGAATTCAGCCCCACATGGATCTACCTGCAGCATCCCCAGAGCTCCCAATGTTCCAAGGTTGACCTGATGAGAGGAAATGCCCCAAGAGGCCACTACCATTGCTAGTTTCCTAATGACTGTTAAGGTAGGTGTCAGAGCTGGTCAGGACTTTTGTGGCCCTGAGGTACAGAGCCAGTTTTGAAGGTAGTTAACATGACTGTGGCAGAATTACCTGCTAAGGAATGGCTGCCTCAGGGGTCATTAATAGAGTTTTTTGAGACAGGGTTTCTCTGTGGCTTTGGAAGCTGTCCTGGAACTAACTCTTGTAGATCAGGCTGGTCTTGAACTTACGGAGATCCACCTGCTTCTGCCTCCCCAGTGCTGGGACTAAAGGTGTGCACCACCACCGCCCAGCGTTAATGGTGCTCTTGCAGAGACCACTCATCTCTGGTGTTGTCAGGAGCTAACCAAAATGGCCTAAGAGCCTGGAAATTGGGATTTTTGTTTCTTACTGGGAGAATCCCCCTCCCCCATCCAAGCTACTACCGCACAAGACTTGCCTCCTAGCACCTGTACAGGAAAAGGCCATGCTGTATACTGTAAGTCTCAATGCATTCACTTCTGGGACTCACCAAAACGTGCACCTGGAACTGGGAGCTAGCTAATGGGGCAGCTAGGACTATACGAGGCCTATCAAGCCAGCACAAGGGGGCCAAAAAACATTTTCTGTGACCTTGGAGACAACAATGCTCCTATAATTTTTATCTCCTAGGTCATTCCAAGAAATCCTTGGTCCTCCTGGCACTTCACAGGAGACTTTTGGGGGTCTTGCAGCATGCTCAGTTCTCGGGGACGGGAGTTGCTTTTCAGCCCATCCTCTGGCTTGCTCTAAAGACCTTGTGGGAGACCCGAAGACTGTCTAGAGACTCCACGAAAAATAGGTAATGGTAGCAATAGTTTGCTGAGACTGGGTTTGAAGATCTGAGCTAGCATTAAGATATTCTCTAGGTCCTAGGCAAAACTAGGAAAGGAAAGGGACCTTCTGGTATCCCTCCTCTTTCCCCATCCAACGCATCAAGAAACTAGGCAGCAAGGCTCTGGGGGCTGCTTTTATGGGGAAGACCTGACAGAGGGTATGGTCCGTACAAAACCAGGAACAATACATACATATATATATTATATACAGAGACGGGGTCCTCCAAGGGCGGGACAAGAGCACTGCCGGTCAACACCGGAAGTACATCGAGGAACCACCCACCCGGCTCCGCCCCCTCCATCTGCCTAGGTGAAGTGCAGAGGCCGGGCACTGTGATAGCCAGCTTTTTCTGGGGAGAAGGGGAACCTCTAGGGCAGAAAGAGAGGGGCAAGAAATACTGATTGATGGTATGGTCTATTTACAGGGGCCTAGGAGAAGCCAAAAAGGATAGAACAGGGTTGTTTAAAAAAAAAAAAAAAAAAAAAACGAACAGAAACCTAGGCTTGGGACAGGGGTGTGAACGTGGCAAAATGAGATGGATTTGAAAGGGGAGGGTACCTGAGGGGATCTCACCTCCCTTGGTCCAAGCCCCAATTTGGGGTTAAAGTGGGGAAACTGAGTCAATTTCACTTAGAAAGCAGGCTGACAGCAAGCAGCCCTGGTCTCCAAAAAGATTAGTAAAATTCTTCCCTCCAGTGAAAACATTGGAAAACAGTGGGGGAGGGGAGGCTGAATCTGATGGTAATACAAGGCTTCCAGGTGTGGCCCTGGGCAGGGCCCAGCTCCCCAGGGAGACCTCTACAGGCACCACCTAAGCTGACCTCCCTCCCTCCTGGCAATCCTAGGCTAGACCAAGGAAACCTGAACCCCAAAGTGGCCTCAGGGCAGTTCCAGGAGGAGGCTGTTTGGCACCTGGGAGAAGGGAGGCCGCTGCCCTTCCTAGGAAAGAGGTGGGGGGACTGGATTCCAGGTGCTCTGAACTCATCCTTTTCCCTACTCGCTCCCCCCCCCCACAGCCCCGCCCCAAGGATACATGAGAAATCAGTGCAGGACCAGGCCCAGCCTCTGGCTCGAGGGTGGGCTCTATCCCTCCTGGGATGGGGAGCAGGAGTGGGAGATGTTGAGGCAATCCCTCCAAGCAGGAGGCCAGAATGCAACAGACAGCACAATGATAGGGAAGAGAAAAAAGCCAAGAAAGTAGAATCTCAAGTCAAGAGGCCCAGGGGCCACATGGACCCTGTGGGCAGGGAGCAGCCTCCAAGTGGTGAGACGCCAGGAGAGCCCCGGCTCCACTCCGGTCCAAGAGACGCAGGCTGGAGGTTGTAAAGTCTGGCAGTTTGGTCTGCAGGCCCTTGTGTCCATCCACCACCCAGGTCAGCTCTCTGCTTCTCTTAGCCTCTGTACCTCAGCCCCATATAGAACAAGGAGGCCACTCTTCCAGCCACCATTGTCTGCCCTGGCCACCCTAAAGGGGCCTGTAATATGGGCCCACTGGTCCCTGAAGCTGGGGGAGGTGGGGTGGAGGAGTGGGGGAAGTCGGGGCACCTGTCCCCAGGCTGGTAGGGGCGGGGTGGGGATTGAGGACAGGGGTGAGGATAATGGAAGGGAATTATTATTGTCCAGTCAAGCGGCGATCCTGTTAAGTAGAATTGGAATTCCTCAGGGTCTGCAGGTTTCCTTCCAGTTCTGAGATCTAGAGAACAGAGAGGGGGTGTCAGGCTTGGCCACTGAGCAAAGATCCTGTGTCTCCCCCCCCCCAAACCCCCAACTCTGATCCCAAGTTCTTGGCCAGCAATACAATCCTTCCCAAACATCAACAGAGTGGTGTTCTTTGATTCTGGCTTCTATACTGCTCCCCCTGGAGGCTGCCCAGGGCTCCAGGACTCAGGCTCTACCTTGTCCAGAAGCTTGTCCATTTCCTCCTTCCTAGCTAGCTCTGACTCTTCCAGTACCCGACGCTGTGCAGTCTCTTTTTTCAGGAACTCGATCTCCCTGGAGACAGGCAAGAAACAGATGGTGGGTTAGGGTTTATGGTGTAGCTTTGGTCCAGGGAGATGCAAAATTTCCCCAAGGTCTCTAGGGCCTGGGTCTGGTATTGAGCCATTCCAGGTCAGGTACCCCACCATGGTGCCCTCTAACTTCTGTTCTCCCTGTCTCCCTACTCAGCTGGAGGAAGGCTGGGGTGGGGACTACCACTGAAGGCCTCTCCATCCTGCTGGGGCCCAGATGCAAAGCTCCTCACACATACTTTTGCTGGTAGTCCTTGATGAGACGTTTGGCCTTGCTGTACTTGCGTTCCAGGGCCTGATACTGGGCCTGGGTCTCCCGCAGGTGTTCATCCACAGCCTGGCACAGGCTCTGGGCTTCACCCCAGTAGCCCTCCAGCTTCTCCATTCGTTCCTTATTCTCCTCCACACTCTGCTCCAGCTGGGCCTTCTCCGCCCGCCAGCGCCCTTTCTCCTGCTCCAGACTCTGCAACTACAAGGAAAGAGCGGCCCTGGGTTAGAGAGGACCAGAGTGAACCATAGAGCCAACAGTCTCTAGGAATTCCTGCACCTGTGGAGCCTGCTGGCCCCCAACTACTAATTCTCTGAGGCTGACCTTAGAGTTCTCCCAGAGGGTAGTAGGCACCTATGAATCACTGATTAGCAGCAACTTCTGCCTTATCCAGAAGATGGGAGTGACTTACCTAAGGACTAGTGAGATGGTAGATATGAAACAGTCTCCACCTGCTCGTACCCTGTGCAGCCCTGGTTTGCAGACCAGCGCCTATCCCTGGAGATTCTTAAACAATCTAGCTCCTCTCCAGCTCTCCTGTATTCCCAAGAGCTCAGTCTGCACTCTTCTCTCCTTACCATTGCTCAGGCAAGTCCCCACCTCCCACACCACTGCTATGCATAGCACAGAGCCCCAAGTCCCTAGTGCCTGGCAGATCTTGCACCTAACTTCCAGCCCCACCTCCCAGCTTTTCACAGGTATCATGCCCCAAATGGGACCTACCCACCTGAAACCAGCTTTCCTGGCTTGCTTGCCTGGTAGAAGGTCCCACTGTCTTACAGCAGTCCCGGTACTCAGTTCCCAGTTCTTGGTAGTCCTTCTATCTTATCAGCTGTAAACACCTCGTGCTTTCTAAGCTTAGATAACGCAAGCCTTCCTGCAGATCCCCAGACTTGCCACAGGGCCTTTGCAGGTACTGTTCCTGTTCCTTCTGCTAGGAATAACCCATCTACCCTTCCTCAATACATTTGCTGTGTATCATTTTCCCAGAATAGCCTGCTGGGACTTCAGTGGGACAGCATGATCCCCCCCGCCCCATGGCATTCTTCCTGATCTAGGGGCTCAGTAACCCTTCTCCTACAGGACCTATCAGGAAGTAACAATAGGCAATGGTGTGCAGACTCTAAGACACACAGGGATAAGAATCAACTCTGCTTTTGCTCCTAACTGTGCCTGAAGTGGCATTAGCTGTCTACAAGTTACCCTAGCTGTCAGTCAATTGAACGCCTCTTTGCTTTCTGAGTGAGAAGCCACCTGTGACCCACCCTCTGCTTCATGCCCTGAAAACACCCTCAAAAATGCAGTCTTACTTGCTCTTTCTTCCCACCCTTGACCTATACTCTGACTCACCCTAGGCTCTGCCTAGGCCTCAAGCAGTTCCATATCTAAGCCCTTCTTACTCTTGAGCCCAACCCCCATTTCCATTTCCTAGATGGTGAGAACATTCTAGGGGACACAGTTCCATGCCTGTAGAACCAAGGCTACAGTTCTGGGGGGGGGGGGGGAGTCCTATACCCTGCCATTTCCAAGCACCCAGCTACCTCTCACTTCTCCCCACAGGAACAGCTACCGTATCCCAGCAGGTCTCCTCTCAAAGTCAGCTACAATCTCTCTCCTAGAAACCATCTGCCCCATACACCCATTCCCTGCCCTCCTCCATCCAAGTGGGAGAGAACACACACATCCTTGTTGCACTGCATCTTCATGGCCCCTGGGAATCGGTTTCTCCTACTACTCCGGAAACCTCGTGGGAGTTGGGACTCCTTCAACATAGAGTCTGTGTGTCTACGACGCCTGGGAGTGTGTAGGTACCCAATGTGCTTGCAAGCATCTGGTGTGCATGTACAGTAGCCATGTGTGTCACCAGCTGGCGCTGTTAGCACTAGCATGTGTGCTGCTGGCCCAGGTGACAATGTGCTTGTCCTCTGATACTCTTCCTAGGCCAGGCAGCCCGAATGGTAATTGTGTTCATGTGTTTCTGTGACCTCAAGGGCAGAGTGAATCTACCTATTCAAGCCAATGCTCCTGGCAGAATCAATCACAGGTATCTAAAAATAATGTCTGTGCACATAGAAGTGTGTAGGTATCTGGATGAATGGGTCTGTGGATACAAGTTGGCATGGGTCACTATGTGCACCTCTGTGTACTTTAGGTAGGCAAAAAATCTCTCTCATCCCTGGGCCTGTGCAAAGAGTGGATGTGTGTTGAGCAGTAAAAATGGATACCAAGAGTGAATGTTGGTTTATCTTCATGGAATCATTCACACTCTGACTTCTGACTGAGCACTGACCCTGTACCAGGCTGCAGACTTCCTGTATCTGTTGCAGATGTCCATGTAACATCTCATTGGTTTCTCACCTATATAGATCTATGATGTTGGCAGTGCTTGTATACCTCAGCTTACGTATGAGGGGATGGAGACCCAATGAATGACTAGGGGAGTAGATAGGCCAGAGCTTGGGATCTTAATCCTGATACCCCTGGCCTCACAGTGGCCCACGATGGAATGTTGGGTGTTGGGGGTGGGGGTGTGAAGGCAGGGCTCCTTCCCCAGCCCTCCGCCTCTAACATGCACACACATGCACACCCTCACCTTCCGTTTCAGCTGCTGGATTTCCGCTTCAGTGACAGCATGCTTGATCTGGAGCTGCAAACATAGGGTGGCACACTCAGCTCCTAGGGCCAGCTACCCACCTGCCTTCACCCACCACCTGGGACCCCTCCTCCAACCTCCTTGAACTTGTGCACCAGCTTCTCTGGCTCCATCTCCACGGGGGACAGTGCATCTTCATTCTCTGCTAGTTCGAACACTTCGATGGCCATCTCGCCCCCTGGGAACGTGGGGCTCAGTTCTTCATCCTCATCGGTGGCATACTCTCCTGTCTGTGGAGAGATGCACGTGATATAGACCTAACGATTCCACCACCCTCAGCAACCCTGCTGCTGGGCCCGACACCAGCAGCAGCATGCTCAAGTCAGACTGGGGGTCAGCCAGGGAGCTAGGAAAGGCAAACTGCAAGACTCTGAAGAAACTTCCTGTACTGACTGTTTCCCCCACACATAGCTTCCTTGAGGAACCATCCCTCTCCCGCTATCAGGTTCCCTCGATCAGGGGCTTTACCCTGCTCCCAGAATAAGGATTCAGAGGGGACTGTGCTTCCCTTCTAGTTACAGGGAGACCTTCTGAAGATAGAGAGTGGGACTCCTCCATTTTACCAGAGGTCCTCTGAGGGGAGAGTCTACTTCTCTTTCATACCATAAGCTCCCTTGGGGTTTGAGTTTCAACAGGACTGGAAAAAAGTAGTTGAGGCAAGTGACTGCACTGCTTCATCTTGCCACCAGAGGGCAATCATGCAGAGTTCCTACCTCCTCATCATCCTCTCCATACTGGGCGTATCTCTGCTCCATCATCTCCCGCTGCCATCTCTCCTGCTCCAAGGTCTGCTGAATTAGCTGGGCCACTTCACTCTGTTCTCCAGGCCGCTCCCGACCAATCATGAACCTGCAGGGACACCAGAGTCATCTGTCATCCTGGTGACATCCCAGCCTATCTGCAGCTGGGAATGCCACTGCCCTCCTTGTATTGTTCCCTCCCTCCAAACCAAGGCCCTCCCAGGGGAGGTGAAGTGAGAGCCTGAGTCCAGAAGCTGTGGAATTAATAATGAATGGGGAAGCTGGGGCGCTCACAGGGTTGTCTACCAGGAGAGGCAGGAGGACCTGCTAGCCTTCCTGGGCAGCTTTGGGAAGGGCCTGTCAGTCAAACTTTGAGCTAGAGAACATGAGCTCAGGAGCTCTCAACTAAGGAGCTTTTTCCACTGAAGAGAGAAACAAAACAAAACAAAGCAAGGGACTGGCCAAAATGAGCCATCCTAGGGGATGGGGAATAGACCATAGAGGTGTGTCTTGGGTGTGCTCCAAGCCCCTGGTCAGGAAGGGGCAGGGTGATGGCCGTTGCAGATTAACATGGAGAGGAAACAGCGGACTTCCAGGCACCAGCTCCTCCCCCAGCCACCCACATCCTGTTACTCTCTAGTACCCTTTCCTGGAGGGGCAGCACCGCTCTCGAAGGGGGATAGGGAGCTATCCCCAGGTGTCCCGCCAGAGGTGCGCACAAACATCTATGCAACCCAGTGCAGCAGCCTTACCAACGGGACATGGGGTGGACCGGGAGAAAAAGATGAAGCTCTAGGTGGGGGAACCTAGTTTGGTTGGCAGTCATTCTGCTTATTTTGGCTTTTCAATAGGTGAGCCAGAGACAGCAGAAGGGAAGAATAAGCCAAGAGGAGAGCATGAAGGAACATGAGCCTGGAAGCCCGAGTCCTAGTGCTGAGCCAGGGATCCAGCGATGGGAAGGCTGGTCTGGGGCAGGGGCTGTGAGTATAAGTCCCTCTGGCAGAGAACTGGTGCCCCAAGGGGACAAGCTTCCTGCCTGTTCCCTTTCTTGGCTCTCACCGCACTCGGCCCTTGGTATTCCTGAGGACAGATGCTGCGAAGCTCTGCGTCACTCCTACCAGGCTTGTTCCATCCACCTCCACCAGTAGATCATTTACTTGAATCCTAGGGGAAGTGACATTTGTTAGGGTGTCATGAGAGGAATAGAAGGTGGGTTAAAGGTGGACTCTTCCCATCAGAAACTCAAGGTTCAGTTCCCACAAGGTTCCATCATAAAATATGTGGACAGAGAGAGCCAGGTGTCAAGAGCCATGAGAGGGGATCAACAGTGCACTGGAACTCTTGGAACACGGCTAGGCAGCTGGCAAAGCCACACCTGAGTGGACCTTGGAGAGGCAAAGCCCCAAGGACTATGTGTCCTGAGGACCTCATGATGTTACTGAGCATAGCCCTGGCTGTTGCCTTTGTGGTCACCACATCCCTTATAATTTATGAGTTGTATGAAAACTCTCAGGAGGTTTCTAGCCCCTCATTGGGCAGAGTTACTGATACAATAATAGTGACTGACTTTCCAAGCATTGCTGCTAAAGGAGATTAATGATTCAACTACCGCCCTTAGAAAGAATTCACGCATGCAGAATTGTTAATAAGGTTAGGTTAAGGTGTTTTTGTTAATAGCTTTGAAGTGGACAATCTTGGGGAACAATTTAAAGTTTAAAAAAGGCATATTAACTGAGTGAGGGACTTGTTGAGGTCAATAAACAAGAAAACAGCCTGATTATCGTTGGCTGATGAGCCTTTCTCACTAAGATGGGCTGGTGATCAAAGGTGATGATTAATTCTTTGCCCTCAGCTTCGTGATATAAAAGACAGTTGGTAAATGGGTATACACCCCGAGGATTGAAAGTAGGGCTGATTGTTTTCATATATAAAAGTTTAGATTTAAGATTCTTTTAAGATTTTTTATAAGATTACCTTTTAAGATAAATAATAAAATGATTGATCCTTTCTTTGTAGTCATAATATGCAGCCTGCCAGTAAAAGAACTGGCTGAGAAAAACACCTCACTTGCTTGCACCCTGTTAATCTATAATAAGTTGCTTGGACATGAGTGTATGTGGATTCCTGAAAATAATTTGTTTTTCACCTGTAATACGTAAAATGTTTATTCACATAAGGGAAATAGGAAACATGTTTTTTACTTGTATTCATTGTAATCATTCACTTAAAAGATAGAATGTAACCACACTGAAATGTTTACACTGCATAAAAATTTTTGCTTGGGTATATAAGCTGTAAGAGAAAAAATAAAGTTAGTTAAAAGGAAGACATCAAGAGAGACAGAAGGGATACATCTGGGTAGAGGTAAGAAACAGAGAGATGATAGAGAGACCCTACAGGCAGGTAGGTGTGTGTGTGTGTGTGGGGGGGGTTTACCGTTTTTTGGTGGGCCCATCCAGATAATTAAGTTTTATTCCCTCAGAGAGAAAAGTCAATTGAATGATTAGTAAGCCAACTTCATGGCTCCCCGTCAGTCCCTGAGCTGCTGAAGCCTGTCCTCACATCGTCAGCCAGGCAACACAGATGCACTTATCCAGGACCAGAAAGGCGGCAGGCACACTTCCTGTAACAATCACTCTTGCTTCTTTAGTCACACTCAGCTCTTGCCTCGTTAGTGACATGCTCAGAGCTCATTTCCACACATGCACACATGCCACTGTCCCAATGTCCTCCCAAATGCCTGAGACCCAAGCATGCCCCCCCCACCCCTGCTCACACACCAATCCACATCCTCAAAGTTGCACACCTCCAACATAATCCAGCTGTGGGGGTGTCCTGGCTCCCCACATGGGGTAGTTGCCTAGCCTGTGAGGGGATGCAGGAGATGGGGAAAGACTCGGGCACCTCCTTCTTCCACTTCCATCTCCTGGGAGGTCATGGGCTTCAAGCAGAAATGGAGAGAACGCCTGATGGAAATAGTTTTCTCCCTTACAGCCCACATTCTCATGTGGGCACTAACCCACGATGCTCACACTCCTGCTTTACTAACCAACAGGTGACTGTGGCCAGCCTCTGGAAAGGGAGGAGAGAGGTAAATACCAGGAAGGATGCCATCCTTTCAGCATCCTGTGTTACCTAGGCCTCAGCAGGCAAATGCCCTCTGAATTGGGCACCCATGCCTCTAACAACATGACCCTACAGTAACTCAACCCTCGGCACTCATCTCTGTCACATGGAGGGAGCGTGGGTGTCAACCCTTCACGGCTTTCCTGAGGGAAAGCCTTGTAGCATTTCCCACTTCCTCCGCCCTGCAACACACACAACAGAAAACTTGGCAGAGAGGGGCATGGATGCCATAGCTCTTGTGCCCTCCGTGATCCTTCGGAATGACAGAATGCCAGTCCTCTGGCCATAGTGTTCCACACAGACGCACACAATGAGCAACTTCAGCTCCAGAACAGGGCCATAATCAGCTTAATCCCAGCTATACCTGGATCCCTGCTGCCCACATTCCTGCCATTAGAACCCCTTCCACTTAGGCTGGGGACATAGCTCCACTGGTATTGTGCTGGCCTTGCATGCACGAGGCCCTAGGTTCACAAGGAACCTTTTATATTTGTTTTTGTTTTTTCAATACAGGGTCTCACTATGTGGCCCTGGTTGTCCTGAAACTCATTATGTCGTGCAGGCTGGCCTCAAACTCACAGAGATGCACCTGCCTCTGCCTCCTGAGTGCTGGGATTTAAGGCATGCATGCACAATTATACTTGGCTACAAGGAACCTTTTATATACTCACTTGGCCTTGCTAGTTCCTGCTTGGCCTTCGGCTCTCATTTTCAATATTACTTCCTTAGAGAAGCTGGCCCTGTCATAGTGGCTAGGCCCTCCTACTTTGCTCCTTCATATACTCTTCTCCATTCAGTCAGTTTGTTTGTTCTGTCTGGTATCTGTCTATTTTATTACACTGCTTGTGTTTGAGGGCAAGGCCCTCTACACTGACTGCCAGAGCCTGGCACCAACCCAGCAAGAGTCAGGCCCTTAGTATTTGTTAAGGGAAAGAAATGCCAAGCCTTATTCCAGACACACAGCCCGTGTTCTTCCTACTAGAGCCAACACACATCCTAGGCTAGTACACACCGTACTAGGTACAGCGTAGCTTCACACCCCTCCCCCACAGAACACGCAGGCCCCGGGGAGGGCTGCCATCTGCTCATGGTTGTCACCCCAAAGCGTGGCACAGCACCTGCACAGAGGTGCTCCTTGAACATCTAAAAACATGCATAACACACACAGGCCTCCTAGAGGCTGCCCGGGGCCCCCTGGTGATTACTGCTAAAAGAGACTTGAGGAAGAGAGTAGAACGAGGGTGGTACCTGCCATCCCGATGGGCTGCGCCACCCTCGGTCACAGTCTTGACGAAGATGCCCAGCTTCTCCAGGCCCATGTCAGCTCCGGCCCCCATGCCAATGATGCTGATGCCCAGGCCCTCAGAGTCTGTGAGGCAGAAGAGAAGCCATGGCTGGAAGGGATCCTCTATCCTATACCCGCTCCAAGGTACGCTTCCTTTCACAAGAACTCCCCCAAATTTAGGAGTCATCCCATGATGGGGGGGAAAAACTATGCTTCTACCCACCTCTTTTTTTGCCAGGCCAACTCAGTGGGACTACTTCCTGCCCTTTGTCCTATCCAATGAGCTGACAAGCAGCAGGGTGTGTGAGGGTGGCTGGGGTGTGGCAGACTATTGTGTACACAGATAAGGGTGTGTGGCTGGGATGGGGGCTGAACTGCGATTTAGTTCTAAGCCTTTTGGTCTCTCTTCAATTAGTCTCTTCTATGCCCAGAGCTTCAGTGACCACACATGGAGATCCACTGCCTAGTTGCACCTGCCTGTCTGTGCCATGGACCTCTAGCAGCCAAACATATGACCTTCCCTGTGAACACTCCCTGAGGACTGGAACCCCTATCCACTCACTAGATGCCAGGCCTGGGAAGCATCCAGATTCGTCTCTCCCAGTTCCAGGATCCATTAAGTCGAGTAAGCACAAGGCAGTGTTGATTGTTACTGCCCACTGCATCCACTTACACTGTACTGTTGCTGATGCTACTACCAAGTCCATCACCTATTACTACCTGTATACACGCCACTAAGATCTTTATTTTCTTTTTTTTTTCTCTTCTCTTCCCTTTATTTTTTAATTTGTTATTTATTTGTTTGCTTTTTGAGACAGTGTTTCTCTTTGTAGCCCTGAATGTCCTGGAACTCTTCCAGTAGTAGACCAGTCTGGCCTCAAACTCAGAGATCTACCTGCATCTGCCTTTCAAAAGTATGTGCCACCACCACCTGGCCACTGTGATCTTTCTAAGGGGACTTGCCCAAGTCCCCACACTCCCTCTCAGAAACCGTCACGCTCTTGCCACAGTCCATGCCACCCTGGTTACACACTCTCCTGTGCTGGATGTACCTCTCTGTTCTACCCCAGGCTTTCCAAACGGCTCCTCTTCAGAGCTCAGACATTGGTGGCCTGAGACTGTTAGCGTGGTGAGGCTCTGTCAAAAGCATGGCCAGTGGCCTTTCATTCCTTCCAGCGCACGGGGTAGCACGTAAGGCTGAAGTCAGAGGCGCCATCTCTCTTGGGAACCTGCTTTTACCTGTACCCATGCCTCCGATAGAGCCCAGGACCACATATACAGTGCTTAGGAGAGATGTTCATCGAGTATCATTCCTGGCAATACACTACAGACACCAGTGGCTCTGGTTGCTGACAAGGAATGCCAAGAAAGGTCAGTTAGGGCTGGAATCAGAAGTCCAGCATGTGAATACCCACAAGGGTGGCAGGACAGAGGCTAGCACCACATCCCAGTATGTTCTTTAGATTGGCCTGGCCTCTCACCCTTCTCCAGCTCCACAGGAAACAGCTCCAATCTCTCCACACGCTTCTCTAACTCATACTCTGCAGAGGCTGCCATGGGATCCACATCTTCATTGCGTCGGTCATAGTCCTCATTGGAGTAGGTGCTGAATACCTGGGGGGGGGGAGCAGCTGTCAAGGGGTGCATGGGAGGTCAAGAGCACAGCTGGCAGGAGGAGGGCCATGGGCCAGCTAGCGAGGGCCTGAGGCCCCACGTCTCCCCCACCGGAGGCCCTTCCCAGCTCTCGGCAAAAGGGCTTCCTACTTCTAGAGATCCATTCCATATGGTACAGTCTGCATAGTACTGATGGCCACACCTGGGGAGATTGTGAGGAAGGTCTGCAAATCTCTGATACCAGGGAAGAGAGGGGACAAGACCCAAGAGCTAGACAGCTGAGAGTGGACAGGCAGAGCAGAAGACAGGAAGAGGAGGAGGGGAGGAAGGATGGAGAAGACACTGGAGGATGCCAGATGGGGATGGGGGGGGAGGGAAGGGGGGAAGAGGCAGAAGCACCAGGACCCTTCACTGCCCAGCAGCTGAAGTGGATGGCCATAGGGGGTGGAGAGGAAACAGTGAGGGTCCTTCTGTCCCCATGGAGAAGGGAAGGCCATTAACTCCCAGGCAGGCCTCAGGCAGCAGGAATGGAAGAGAAAGCCGGGCCCTTATGGTCCTCCCATATGCCAGAACTGTGTCCCTGAAGAAAGATATTCCTGTCAACCAGAAAAAAAAAAAAAAAAATAGGCACGGGCCCTAAAGGGACTAGGGATCATGGGGCAGTGGCGGTCTCTCTGCCCTTGCTCAGTATCCCGTGACCCTCTACTGTCTGTTTCCTTCTATGTGTCTAACTCTGACCTCTTCATAGGACCAGTGAGGAGGAGGTGGGGCTTTGTGGTTAACCTGATGCTGAACCCAGGTGGGTATCTGCACAGCATTTAATGGACATCATTTGGGGAACCATGGCTTGTTTGACTTTCCTGCTAGCTGTGACAGATTGGCATCACTTGAAGTCAACTGGATGGGCTAGAAGGAAGTAGGGGGAGATACTGTCTTCAGAAAGCTCCATGCCAGGACCTCCTCTGCTCCAGGAGCATGCCCATGGGCATCCTGGTAGGCAGGGTTACTCCTGTGCTCCAGCTTTTGTTGGGGCTTGCTGAATGTCATCCCAAACCTCTAGCCCCACCACAGATGTACACGGTCTTGGTGGTAGGTAGAAAGGATGCTTATTGAATCAACCAGAAGCACAGCTGAGGGGTGTGTGCTCACCTAGCTCAGTGCCCTAACTACACAATATCAGACATTCAGGGCCAGGCCCTTTATAATCATCTAGCTGCTGTGCAATGGCCAATGGACTAATCTCCAACATCTGACCAGTTTGTCAGCAGTCCCAGCCCCTTGAAGCAACAGGCTCCCTATTCCACAAATAATCCATTGCCCAAGGTCACAAGGGGTTGGTTAGCCAGTAGCTCGGCAGGATGGCACCAAATTCAAGATGGGCTGTAGTAGGTGGGTCACAAGTGCCTTTGTCCCTAACTCAAAAGTGTTCCAAGCTTTAGGACAAAGAACGCCATAACCCTGGATCAGCAAATTGGCTTTGGCCCACTTTTTCATCTGAGGCCTCTGGCCTTTACCCTACACCCAGGAGACAGTGTCCCCCAGCCCTTTCCCAAGTCAACCAACCCCTCCCCACTTCCCGTCACACACACTCCACTATGACTTCCAAAACACTGACCCTACCTCCTCTTCTGTCTACAACCTGTTCACCTCTGGCAGCCTGCCCTTTGCAGGGGTCCCAGGCAGGCCTCAGGTTCAGAGGCCTCAGACCACCAGTCACTCCCTCTCCCAGAAGGCCCTGGGCTCAGCTATCTTAGCTGATAGTCTGGAATTGTGTTCTCTGTTCTGAGCAGATACCCCCACTGCCATAACGGTGACAATTGGGTCAGGGAGGGGCAGAGAACCCTGGCTTCAGAGTCAGTGTAGCAGTGGCAGTGGAGAGCAGCCTGGGGCCCTGGGCCAGGGTGGGGAGAAGGAATGCCCCAGCAAGGCCAAAAGTCACACACTCAGCCTCTGCACTGCCTTGGCTCTCACACTAGTGGCCGGCTTGCTTCAGAGTCACCAGGGAGTCCACAGCACTGCTCTAAATCATGTGCTATTTTTTACCAAAAAACCAGGGTAAGGCGTCAGATATAGACAGAGGCCCAGACCACACTCCTCTCTATGAGGGCATGGGGCTACTCAAAGAACCCATGGGGATGAAGCAACAGCCCGACACCCTCCCAAGAGCATCACAGCCTCTGCTCCTTCCTGGATCTCCCTCCCTTCAGAGGGAATATGGCATGGAGAAGCCTTCCAAATTCTCAGGCAGGGAGAGGAGGACACTGGCCACCCTCCTTAACCTTTTAGACCTCTGCTGGCCTGGGATGGGGGAAATTTGGTCCAGTAGTAGCTATGGAAACTGCAAGCAAACACATTGGGTTTGTCTGGGGAGGGCAAGGAGGGGCAGGGTCCAGGCCAAGGAAAGTCCTTGGTGCTGCATACAGCCATCCACCCCACACTGGGCAGGGCAGGTGCTAGGCACAGTAGCGGGAGGGCTAGGAAGAAAAGAACATCAAAGCAGAATGTGCCAGCTAAGCTCACAGGGTAGTGGGAAATAGGAGTGGTCTCCTGTTTTTAATTCTCCCCAGGGGACATCTTTTCTCTACCAGACTACTAAGATCTCAAAGCACTGACTGGCACAGCTCTCAAACCAATCACCAATAGTGGTGTTAGAGATGGGGGCTGAACCCTCCCCTGCCAGGCGAGCCCCCATCCTCTTTTAAAGTACCCAGAGAATACGGAAAGGGGTTGGAGTCCTAAGGCTGTAGGCATGTATGTCTGCCAGGCACCTTAGGGGAACTCCCAGACCCACCCAGCACCCTCTTCCTGTGGAGCCTGCAGAAGGCCTATTCCTCCTCCATATAAGACGCCCCTTTCTGGTGCAACTCTGGACATAGGAAGCTGGCCCAGCACAGACCATGAGGTATAGGGTCTTTCCCCCAGCCCGGGTCACAAGGCCATGGCCCAGTTCACCCTCACAGTGTGCTTCCGTCTTTCACTTCTGCAAAGCTGGGGTGGGGGTACTGACAGGACAGAACTGCAGTCTCCAGTATCTTTGTTTTGGGAAGTTCCTAGCTCCCCTCTCTCACCCCAGGCAGAGCCAGCCTCACACATGGAGAAGCAGGAAGTATCCCTAAGCTTCCCATCCTTCTCTCCTGACAGTAGGGCATAGGAACAGTACCCTGAGGACACAACCCACACCCCTTCAGGCCAGCCAAGTCCCAGCCTCTGGCAGCCTCTGGAAGAAAGAATGTCTGGGGGAGGGAGAGAGAGCAGGTGTTCCAGAGTAGGCGTGGGACAGGGCGGGATGCTGGGCGGGGCAGCAGGCTAGGAACCTGAGGGCAGGTCGCAGCAGGCCACCTTCGCAATCACAGGCCTGAAAACCTTCCCACTCTGACAAACAGCTGGATGTCCCCCACGCCCCCCTCATTGTGGAAACTTCTGGGAACCCAGCTGGGTGGCAGGGTCTGACTCAACCTGCCAAACACGGATGTCTGGGCGGGGGCGACCACTCGCACAAGGCAGGGGCAGTGCGGGGGACCGAGGGGGGATCACTCACTTGGATCGGTGCGGTGCTGAAATGGATCTTCCGACTCGGGGCCGGATCCTCTTCCTCTGAGAGACCGGGAATCTCTACACACCCTGACTCCGGCTCGTAGGGGGGCTCCCCATCCTCCTCATCATCTTCTTCATCGTCCTCCTCCAGGGCACTGCCCCCAGAGTCCTCCCCGAGTCCACTGTAGGCGCTCACATCCACCAAGTCCGCTTCCGAGAAGTCCTCCTTCTTGGACTCATCCACCTCCTCAGGGGCCATGTCCGGAGCCCGGCCATTGTCCACCCCCCTCTCCGGCGTCACCACAGACGCTGCTTCCTCTTCGGGGACCGCTTCGGCCTTGGGCTCCTCGGGTGCGGGGCTGGCTGTGGTGGCCGAGGTGCTGCCATTCTCCAAGGCTGCATGGACGGTCACCTCAGCCTGGATCACTTCCCCGGGAGCCGACTCGGCCTCAGACTCCCCACTTTCCTCAACCTCCACCGGCTTGATCTTGCGCACCTCCCGAGGCTTTGGCGGCGGTCGCGCAGGGGCCACTCGGTGCTGTGGGGGCTGCTGCCCTCCAGGGCCACGCTCCTTCTCGGTCGCGGCATCCCCCGACGGGGCGGGAGGCGGCGGCGGCGGCTGAAACACCCGGGACCGCTTACTGACCAGCTTCGAGTTGACCTGGGGCGCCCCCGCGGCCCGGGGGGGCCCGGGCGCACGGTGAAGGCCGGTCCTCGAGTCGGCTTTCTCAAAGACCGCACTGAGCTGGCTGACCGTCGGCGACACGGCGTCAGCATCCAGCTTGTCCAGCGCCTCGGTGCTGCCGTTGAAGCGCACCACGACGTCCAGCTTCCGGTCCTGCAGGCCGGCGCGCTCCTGCCGCAGCAGCCGCCGGGCCGCGGCCTCCTTGTCGCCACCCGAGGCCGCGGGGACGCTCCGTTCGAACAGCTTCCGCGTCTCCTGCAGCCGGGACGGCGGGTGCGGTGGCGGAGCCGGCTGCGCCGAGGGCGCGGGCTTGGAGTCGAAGCGGCTCACGCGCTCAGACACGCTGGTGCCCAGTTTGAGCAAGGCGCTGTGGTCCACGTTCTCGTTCAGGCTGCTGGCCCGCGGCAGGGACAGGCGCACGCCGCCGCGCTCGGACGCCCGCGGGGCCTCGGCCATGCCCGCGCCGCCTCCCGCCTCCCCTGGCGGCCCCGCGGTGGTGCCCATCTGCAGGAACATACTTTTGATGCGGTGGACGTTGGAGCCATATTTCTTATGGTGGGCCGCCTTGGGTGTCTCATCGGGCCCGGGCGCATCGGGAGGTTTCAATGCCTGGATGCCCGCTTCGTAAGCGCTGCGGTGCGGGGAGGCGCTCCGGAGGGGACCCCCGGGCCCCCGAGGCTCCGTCTTCATCATGGTGGGGGGAGCCGGGTTCGCATCCCCTCGCTCCCCGCTGCCCCCCTCCAGCAGGCGGCTGGCCAAGTCGGGACCACCGCCCCCCCTCAAAGAAAGAAATCCCGCAAGGCCTTCTATAGAGTCCCCCAGAAACCAATCTGCCAAAAAACAGTTAACCCTGCTCTAAAAAAAAAAAAAAAAAAAAAATCTCGGAGCGCCCTGTGTGGGTCGCCTCCCCCAACCAAGCTGCCAAAGACAGCCAGCCCCCTTCGAAAGCTCGAGCGGCCTGGTGCGGTCGCCCCCACCCAAATTGGAGAAGCGGAGGCTGGCTGGAGCCGCTGGGACCGCGCTCCCAGCCCGCGAAGCAGCGGCCACGGCGCCGGCTCACATCCTCCGAGGCGGTGTCAGCGAGGCTGGCGGCGCGGGCGCCCCCTACTCCGGCAGGGAGCCTTGACTCTTGGGGTGCCCGGCATCCCAGCGCCCGTGGCTGCTCCGCTGACCCGGGCCGCTCCGCCGCGCCTCCCTCCCTCCCTCCCTCCCCCCCGCGCCCCGAGCCTCGGTCTTTCTCTAGCTCAGCCCGAACCGCGGCTGCCGGAGATGGAGCGGCTGCCCTTCTCGCCGCCGCCGCTGGGGGACTGGCACCACTGGGTCCTAAAGGGATCGGATTTCCGGGGCCGGAGCCTGTGAGCCCTCCCCTTCCCTTCCACCCTGTCGCCTCGTCTCTCCTACTCATAGTTGGCCGACAGCCTAACGCAGCTCCTCGGACCTTGGCTATTCTTCGTCAACCCTCCCATCCCAAACGCGGCGGCTTTTCACAACCCACATAGGCGTACCCTCATTTAACCCTGGGGGCGGGGAACCATCCAGACACAGCCGCCTGGATCCTGGCCTGATCCTCCCCCAGTATGAACGGGTTCTGTGAGAAGGGGCCCTGAATCATTCACTTAAATGTCCTTAGAGTGTTCAGGGCTATCAGCATCAAAACTGTTGGGTGCTAGGTCAAAGCACATATTTCTAGCTCCTTCCAAACTTGGTGCAGGGAATCTCAGAGGCAGGACCTGGGAGTCTTCATTTTAACAACTCCCCATGGGGCACTTTTTGCACCTTAAAGGATGTAAAAGTTTGGCCCAGCAATACTTGCGGTGCCAAGAACAAATGAAGAAACGGAGGTGGGTAGGAGGGCACATCACCCAAATGGCAGGAGATTTCCAAAGCTCCCTTTGGCCATCGGAAGTCTTAAGACGGTGCTCTTCACCTGCCCACTCTTTTTCAGGCTTCGGGAGGAGTGTTGAATCCTGGCCTTCATAATCTGCCAGAGAACTCTCTCTCTAAATAGGAAGAGTTGGAACGGTGTTGGGAGGGAGTTAGAAGAAATGATTCTAGAGGCCTAGGGCCAAAGTTTCCCTGCTGAGAGTTCTAGATTGGGTCTCAGATTTAAAGGATTCTGGTCACTGTGTGTGTGTGTGTGTGTGTGTGTGTGTGTGTGAGAGAGAGAGAGAGAGAGAGAGAGGGGGGGGGGTCCTTAATCCCATCACTTGGGAGACAGAGGCAGGAGGATCTCTGTGAGTTGGAGGGGTCAGTTTGGTCTACAGAGCAAATGCCAGGACATAGAAACCGTGTCTCTCAAAAAAGCAACAACAAAGTGTGTGTGTCCTTCTGTGTGTGTCTTACAAATCCCTTCTTGAATTCTTTAGAGTTCCTTCATTCCTCCAAGGGGCCTGGTGTTGCCCTTTATCCCTCCCCAGTTGCCGGGAACCTGCTAGTGAGGATACATCCAATAGTTGGGTCTAGTTGCTCTTGTCTATAGATCACAGGAACTGAGGAAAAGAGAGGACACTAGGACCCAGAGAACAACTCAGGCACAAAGCCTCTCCCCCCCCCCCTCCAGCTGCTTCCTGCATCTCGGGCCTTCCTGCAGCCTCGGCCTACTCCCCCCAACCCCCTTCCACTCCATCCTCTTCCTCCTCTTCCCGTTCTCCCACTCTCCGGTTGGCCTGGCCGAGCCGGTGGAGGAAGCCCTCCTACCCTTGCATTCTCCGTGTGTGGGTTTTGTGGGACACTAACCCATAGCACGTGCAAAAGAGCTCAGTGCGTGGGGGATGGGACATGGGGAAACCGCCTGGGAACCCTGAAGATTGGGGTGGGGAGGAGCCAAGAACCACTGGACTGGCTCCCTCGAGTAGTGTGCCAGGAGAGGGAAGATTTTGGCTCTCATCTGGAGCCGGACAGGCTTTCAGATGCCCCTACATTTTTGCACAGCAGGCAGGAGACTTACCCCTCCCCAGTTCCGCACTTGGGGGATCTGTGTGCCTCCTCACCTTCTGACCCTTCTTAGAAGCCCACTTTCCTAAACAAGCTTTAGGACTTGTTCCCAAGTTTAAGTCTAGAATTTGAACCCTCCACCCTATCCCCGACTATGGCAGTTGGTTGGTGGCTTTGTGTGTGTGTGTGTGTGTGTGTGTGTGTGTGTGTGTGTGTGTTTGGTTTGGTTTTTTCTTTTTCTTTCTTTTTTTTTTTTTTCTCTTTTGAGACAGAATCTGGAGTATCCCATGCTGGCTTTGAACTAGCCATTGTAGCCAAGCATGACCTTGAACTTCTATCCCACTCCCTCCACCTTTTGAGTGCTGGAATCACAGGCTCGAGGTTCTACCAGGGCTCTCTGCATGAGGCAAGCACTCTAGCAACCCAGCTCCATCTTCACCTCCCACTGTGATAGTTGGGCGATGCCCTGCTGCTCACCCTATTGCTAGCTGGGAATTTTGTCCTTACAGCTCCTGTGTGGATTGGGGGAGGGCCCAGGCCCCTGGGTGTTCTGCCCAGAATCTCCCACACCCTTTGTGGTGAGTCATCTTTCCTGGTCCAAGCCCAAGGGGTCCTGTGCCCACACTCAGGGCCAGGTGGGAGGAGGGGTTGAGAACCAGCTGTTGGCCCCTTCCCCCATCATCCTTGGCAGAAATTTAAGATGAACTAGACTTAATAGATACCCTCATGCCTCCCTTACCCGGTAATTTCTCAGAGTGAGACCCCCTTTAAGAGCTTCGGGATGCGAGAAAGTAGAGTGAGCACGAAAGTAGAGTGAGCACGAAAGAGTGAGCACGGAGCTTGGGTGACTGAAGCTAATAAGGAGAGAGTATTCTTTCCTGGGCTTCTATACGGCAGAGCAACACCCGAGCTGGAATTTTACCATCACTCTTTCCTTGGAGTCAGGCACCAAACAATCTGCCTATAAGATGGGTGGGGCACGAAGTGTCACCTCCTCCATCCTGTCCCTGCCCAGCTGAGGTAAACTTCCATTCCTCAGGCCATAATGTTCACCTATTCCCACGTGTTTAGCATCCTTGGATAATTTAAAACTTTTGGTTTCCCCAGGACCCATGTGGTGGGAACTTTGATGTCATGGCCGCTGTACCTGATGGTCTTGGGAAGGAAGTTCCTTCTATTCCTTTGCCTTGTGTGGAGTTAGGGGTGGAGTGGTTCCCAAAGTTGAGCCAGGATTCAGGTCCTGCCTGTACCACTTAACTGTCTGTGACCTTGCAGAAGTCATGCATCTCTTTTGTGCTCTGAGGGGATAAACTGAGGCCTGGGAGAACTGCCAGCAGCTTCAATGCTTGTGACCAGGTGTAGGGGAAGGAAACACCTTCCCAGCATTGGCTAAATGATGGGAACTGCTGCACTAGGCTGCAATAATCCTCCCTCTCTCCGGCCAAGCCCTTCCTTGTTTCCTCATACCCCATCTGACGAGGGCCCTCTGGGAAGGTGCTCTGGATGGTTATGCCTGGGGGCTTGTTGGCTTTAAATGCCAGGTGTAACAGCAAAGATGGTGAGAGAGAACCCGATGTGTGGTGAGTTCCCAGCCTTCAGCACCCTGGGCTCAGGCATGGGCTGGGAGCCAAGGCTGGCTGCTCTTCCCAGCCTTGGGCCTTTGAGACAACTTCTGAAAGTCGTTTTGTTTTGTTTTCCTGGCCACTGTCATCAGAGAAGAAGCCGTCCGGGTCTATGGTAAGTTCCTAACATTCACTCCAATTCCTCTATGTTGTTGGCCTTGAGCTCGTTCTGGGATCCAAGGAGAGGATATGCTTGTGTTTCCACACCTAAACATGCTGTCCAACTCCAGCATGGCATGCCCGAGAGGGCTAAAGGCCCTTAGATAACCTAGTCACAAGGGACAGCCACAGTTTTAGCAACCTGGCTAGGGTCCCGCTGGTCTGACTTGAGTCCTGAGCCCTCCCATTTGCTCCATTTGCCTTGGAATAGTCATTTTGGATCCCATACTTGCTAACATGTTCAACTTGAATGTCTGAAATCTTCTGACCATGGATGAACCTGGGTGTCTCTTACTTCCTGTGTAGCACAGGATACCGCAGGACTTTGAAGTCAGGCCATTTCTGTTAGAACCCCCAGCTGCCACTTCCAAACTCAAGGACTTTGCCACATTTCTTCCTCTGTGAGCCGGAGACAATACAACAAACTCAAGGAGTTGCTGAGGGCACTAAATAGATCCTGAATTTGGAAAGCACAGAGGTGCTCAGAGTGTGGGCTGTTCCCGACTGCGACTGCACGTGGACTGGAGCATGTATGGGGGCTGCACATGCAAGAGTGTGGGCAGGTGTGTGGCTGCAAATGAGCACCGGCGCCTGCAGCTCAAGTCTATTTTCATGAGACACTGGGCCTCTGCTCTCTTCTCAAAGTCCGCTATGTGAAATTCTGGTATGTAAGCATTTCTGCCCATGGCTCTTCCAAATCTTCGTGAATCTTTTCTTCTTGACCCGGAGCCTCAAGCGTGCCAGGTAAGTATTCTGTCACTTAACTACACCCTTTGCCCTGAGATTTTTTTTTTTTTTTTTTAATGACCTTCTTTCTTAACTTTCCAAGGGATTTTTTATTCCTGCCTCTTGGTGTGCCTCAAGTCTCTTATTGTATCTGTAGGGAGAGGACCTGTGGGGTCCTTCCTTCTTCCCACGGCTAGGAGATTGCTATTGCTTTTTTTTTTTTTTTCTTTTTTGGCTGCTGGCTTTCTTCCCACCAGTCTCACACTGTACTCTAGCAGCCCTTGTAAAGTTCACATGCTTCTTGGAGACTAGGAAGGCATCAGTGTGTGTGTGTGTGTGTGTGTGTGTGTGTGTGTTGGGGGTTGGGGAAGGGATGAGGCACAGCAAAGATTTCTCCAAATCCTCAGTCGCTTTAAAGGAAAGC